AAAAAGACAATCACAAGGGGTAGCTAGTGTGGATTAATTTTAATATTCTTTTCAATTTTCTAGGCTGTCAACAATTAGAGGAGTAAGGGTAAGTTTGGAAAATTAAAATAGTTATAGGTACCATCAATAACTTTTCATTCCCCGAGCCCTTTTCTCTGAAGACATTGGATCGGAGTCATCTCTCCAAATTATATATTGCTATTCGATTAACCTTTTTTCCCTCTCATTGTTTCTCTTTTTCATTTGTCTAAGCTAAGTTAAAGAAAGGCAATAAATTTATCAGTTCACATACTTACTCCTGAATTTAATTAGATCGAAAAAAACTAATCAAATTAATATTAAGTCCATAGACAAAATGAAGAATTCAAAAAAAGTAAAAAAGAGACAGTGATAGCATTGAATTGAAGGTAATAGAAATGTCAAGTGAATAATGGACAACTAAAAATGGAATCGAGGGAAGCATAGTGATCCGGATGGTTGAGAAGTTCTAGTATGGCTTTTCAAGATCTCGAGTCTGATTCCTATATGAAAAAACCGAACAAGTTGATGGTGATGGCATAGATCACCGGAGAAGGATGTGGTGACTGTGAGTGCGAAATTTGGGGAAGTAACAAGTTTTTTTTTGGGGGGCGGAATAAATATCTCAAAAGTGTTCTTTTCCTTATTACATTTAATGCTGAATAGAAGATGGACAAGCGATGATGCCATGTCAATTGTTCTATGTAATATGTCCTATTTTTGGATTCTCATAGCAATGCTCGGATAAAACTTCATGATTTTAAACTTGTGTGTCTCATTTTCAATGCAAAATTACAATTCCCATAAAAGGTATGAATAAACAAACTCGTGCAGTAGTAGTACAAGTTCTACTAGCACGCACGTAAGTTAGATAGAAATAAGTAAAGTATTTCATGTCATTCATGGAGAAAATAGAGTGATAATTTAGAATTTTTCAGTGTCATGTTAGAAGAGGATGTTCCTTGTAAGGTTTGTATTCGTGGAGAGAACACAGATGTGATAAGGGCTGTTTATCTCGGAAAAGTTTAACATTGACATCACATTTTTTATGTTTCCACCTGTTTTCCTTAAAAAAAAAAACAAACTTTGCAACCATACAGCCCCTAAGATTTGTATTTTAAACTTATTACAATGTGAGAAATCTAAAGAATCCTTATGTTTCTAAAGTTCGTTTTGTTGGGTTTGTAGGAAGATAGAATGAAAAGTTAGTTTTGAAAAGCGATTTTTCCAAAAATTCTTTTTTTCAAAAGAAAATGATAATGTTGAAGATATATATGGATCACACTAATAATTAATATTGCATTTAAAACTAAAGGTATTAGTATTTCTTTAGAGAGTATTTTAAATATTTTCGTTCTTTTTTTATATATTTTTTATTCTTCTAGATTTTTTTTCTATTCGGTTGTGTATTTTTTAAGATATAGCGGGACCCTCACCACATGAATTCTAACACTATGCTCGTGTTATACAAGGATTTCTCATGGCACAATCCTTCCATTGATCCACGTTCCCAAAATCACAAAAAGCAAACAAAAATTTTTTGTTGTAAACATTTGACTTGTAAACAATGAATAGAACTACTCAAATGTATATTCAATTCATCTGATCATCAAATGTTCATTTATAACAAAACTTTGAAACAAACCAAATCTGTTTTTACCGCTCAAAAGATTACAGTGTATGCACGAGATATTTGTTAAGTCAACTATATAGGTTATTTTACAACTGCAGTTATTGTTATATTTATTATTTGCAGTGAAACAAATAGTTACAACAGCCAAAATATATCTAACTACGATTGCAACTCCTACATCCAATCCTTTGATGCCCTAATTGCCGTGACGAAAAAACAGCTACAATAGCCAAAATATATCTAGCCACGGTTGCAACCTCTACATCTATCCTTTAATGTTCCTACTTAACTAAAGGATGACGACTTTCAACGTTTTTCTACTCCTTTATACAAATGAGAGAATCTAAGATTCACTATTCATACAGTAGTAAACGGTAAAGTAGCAATTACTGTAGCAGTACAACTGTAACAAACAGGAAATAAATACTGTAGCAATTTTTTGAAAAATATCACTATAGCACACAAGAATATTGTAGCATTTTTTATAAACTGTAAAACTTCAAAAACTTTAAAAATACTGTAGCATTTAAAAATTGGAATTACTACATTGGGGGGAAAAAGATATGTCATGCTTTGCACGGTGTTCACGACTAGTTTGATATAATTAGAGAAACACAGAGAAAACCATCAAGGTAGCAAAAACTCACAAAACCAAAAAGACAATCTCTACAAGAAAGAACGCACACAACACTTGCTACGACTTGCATTTTACAAGGGAATGACAAACACAGCACAATTTATGACCGAAATTCCAGGAAAATAAAGAGACTGAAATCATGCATATGACAGAGATTTCAGAAAGGAATAGAGAGTGAAATTATGTTTTTCCATTAATTACAGTTTGGACACAAAATGCTCAAAGGAGCAAACTCAGGGGGTAAGAGTACAATCTTCAACGCCAGTTAATAAATGAACTAAATTTTCAGCTAAGACCTTGACTATAAAAAATAGCAGATTTTAAAAAAAAAAATCAGGAGCAGGCAGCCAGATTATAATAGATTAAAAGATTACTTCACTTGCATTTAACTGCCAAAATGAAAATGCCTTCTACAATTGCTGCTGATTAGCATTATACAATTATCCAACGTAGAGTTGGAGTAATATTTCACCAGGATCAGGAAAACATTCGGAGGAAATTGTTTGCATATGCCATCGGCTTAACATCAGGGTGTGGCTGCAAGTTTTAATTTTTATAGTAACAAGAAAACAGATCAGTATAAAAAGCAAGCAAGTCAAAGTGACTTGAAATATAATTTGCACATTAAATCAACACTCACCACTGAAGAGAAGGAAACGATGTCTGGCTTCAATTCAGGGGCTTTAAAACGAATAAATGCACCCTTGTTGCCCATCTGCAGAGGTGACACATTGAAGATATATATCAGATTGTCATTAACTTACTAACAAGATGTAGGGATTGAAACATGAGCATATGAATGTCAGAGACAGACAGAAATAGCTTATAGCATGGTGAAAACGGTAGCAAACATAAAATATCAGAATTGTCGTTCTTATTATAACAAACATAAAATTTTAAATGTCCTAATTGAAGGTTTAAAAGCCAATCTATTCCATTCATAATTATTTATGAACCGTTTTTTTAAGTGAGCATATAACATTCTCTATATCTTCTCAANCCACACACACACACACCACAAAAAAAAAAACTAAAACTAAAGCACTGCCTCATGACTAAAAACATAAAAGTGGTTACCTATGGTATAGCTAGATCAAAATTAAATTAACTCAAGAACACTATTACACTTGTTCCCCATATTATAAGCAGTAATTTGAACAAAAATGGTAATATTGTTCCTCCATAGATCAAGAATTTTGGTCTTTAGGAAGTATCATGATCATCCAATAAGAAGGGTTTCAATTTATTCAAATGAACGCTTTGAACACCTATTGATTCTAACAATTGATTGCAGGGTTGACCATTTGGACCTTTCAATTCATAGACATGGATCTCGGACCTATGAATGGGGGTATTCCCGATACTCACAAAGAAAAAGGGAAGTGACTTGGACAAAAAGAAACGAAATGACTTAAACAAATCTTGTTTGTCGATAGCCTAGGACCAATCAATCAAATATTGATTAATACGTAATCGATCGAACACTACTTGAAAATGGCTCTTCTATCCAGAAATGAAATGTTCTTGCTCCCATTGGACCATTTGTATCTATATGCATCAAGATCCTGATTCATGGATCTCTCGGTTCAAGAAATAAGAGGATCAAATTCCTCATCAAATTCAATAACATATGCATTCCTGTCTTAGCCTTAGGCTGTCGCCAAGAGGTCAACTCCTCTAAGTCTTAAGATAATTTGTTATACGAGAGGAAAGAGAAAATCATTAGGCATGTCCAGTGTAATCATTGCGCTGCGAAGAAACTCATCTGCTAAAGTTCAAAATTTGAGATATCTAGCAGACCTGAAAACAATATGTTATCCGCAAAGAATAATGTGAAGAGTTGTTTTATACAAAACAATTTTTTTTTGTGATGTAACTAAAACAATTCTCAATCAGTAGTGCACTAAAAACTTAAAATCAGTTGACAATTCTTGAAAGACAATACAAACTTTAGATCACAACCTGTCCCAACAATTACCAGACAAAACATGACAAACTACAGTCAACATAATGAGTTTGACATACAGCAGACTTTAGCACCAATCTGATGACTTAAAAAGAGAATCTTCACAGGATAGATTTTTCTCATTTGGAATATTCGGAAAACTTGTACTTAAACATTTGTACACAACATATACCATTAAAATTGGGAAAGGACTTTATTTGTTCATTTCTCTACTCCATGTTGATTAAAAGGTTCAATATCTCCAACATTATAATGAATCAAATGGAAGTGAAATTCAATGCAAGCCTAAAACTTTATCTCAGGGTCAGAGGCCTTGTACTCCTCAAAGGGATGCAAGAGTTAAGAACAATTGATCAAAACTGATAAAAGATGTAACAGCATGATTACAAAATAAAAGAGCGAAGAACAGCTATTAAGTCATGTACCTGATGTATAAAATGTACAGAGTACAAACGAAAAATCAATTCCAAACTGAGAGCGTTATCAAACATTTAAAATTGAAATGGCAAGACAGGTCACAACTGTTGGTTGACTTATACCAAGAGGTTGACATAGAAACACTTATTACTTTAGCCAAGACATAAATAAATAAATTGATGCCACTTTTTCAGAAATATCCTTTGTTGTATGGGGTAGTATATTGTAAATGTGACAAGATTGAGAGTATCGTTCCAGATGGAGCACTACGGATGGCACCCATAGATATTGAAGCTAAATAGCCTAATGAAGCATACACGGCATGCCTTAAATGAGTGCAATAATGCAAAAAATGATCTTTTGCCGAATGGGACCAAAATTCAATTTTAATGAACATATTCTCCTGTCCTAAAAAACCCTTTGAAACGTCCGATATAACTCTAACAACCCATCCCAATAGAATTAAATGGAGCAAAATTCATTTTTAATAAACATATTCTATTGTCCTAAAAACCCTTTGAAACATCCGATATTACTCTAACAACCCATCCCAACAGAATGGAATTCCATTTCACACAGGATCCATTACACAACTATAATCTAAGAGATTTCAGTGGATCACACTTCTCCTTCGGTTGGTTGACAATTTTTTATTAGAAATACAGGCTTAAAAGAAATGAAATCTGCAGCCCATTTTCATATATAAGTGCTATCATTTCCAGACCATTTCAAGCAGAGATACTTGTAACATATTTAACTACCTGATCGCAATAGTTTGGAGCAGAAAAGACAGTTATAAGCTTCCCACCATGCTCAATTTCATAGCCTTCATCCTTCACCTCATGCGATCGGACAACAAGATCTGTGGCAAGAATAAAGCATGTAAGAGCAGAATCCAAAAATACAAGATAATAATAAGACGAGAAATTACCCAGATTGTTTTCTTGTAGAAATCTCTTTGTCACATCTTCACCAAATGAAAGACCTACACCCCTCTTACTGGGGCCCCTTCCAAGTTGAGGTTGTGGGTCACTCCAAAGCAATTCACACATCAAACCTGCCAATTGTTGAAAATTTGCACATAAAGAACTATAGCAAAAAAGTAGGTAGGAAATCACACTACAATGTATAATTATGCAGTGGAATATGAAAAATAAGACAAGTTTCAGAAAAATATTTTTCAAAAACAGAAAATAAAAAACTGATAAAGTGTAGATTAAGAGATGATATAATGCATAATAACAAGTAGCAACATTTTTGACATTTACATATGATGACTTGTAATTAATGGTTGTAACAAACTCCATCAACGCTTAAGTCAATCATATGTTAGGAGTTAATAATATTTCAAAGTCAATGACAAAATAAATACTTAACAATGAAGAGGATGACGATGAGCAAAAAAGAAGCGAAACGGCAACAAAGACTATTGTTATTCCATAACCCATATCTACTGGTTATTTGACCACCGACCACATTTATGGATTATACTGTTACATAACTGGGAGAAAGCTATGTAGCCAGAGGAAACATATGAATATGAACTTAAATATATAAACGGACGCATTTTCTTTAGCTTATAGCAGTAATGATACAGTTTAACACATTGTAAAAGTTCACTTTTAAGGATAAAGACTAGAAGCTCCAAGTAACTAACAGGTATAAGGATCATTTAACTTGTTAACCTAAATCATGATTCCACTAAAATAATATTTTAAAAAAATCTTAAAGAAGAACAATGTATGCGACTATAGAACTGAATGGTATTACCGTATCTCTGTTCCCTTTGCATCATGGAACAGGTGAAACGACATGTGAGATGAATAAGGTATATGCTTAATTCATTTCAAGTTCATAGTAAACTTGTGGCGGTATGTCTATATTGGCTCGCAAGCCAAGATATCAGACAATAATGATAGATAGCACTTGTATCGTATCGGATTTTGTCCTAGCAACCAGAAGGTTATTATATGGTTCTGGTGATGGCTTAAGTTTCTGCAAAAATGAAAATACTGTTGGTCCATTTCGGAATTTGATTTCAAAAAGGGTATATATAAAAAAATGATTGACGATACCATTTATTAATATTGAATAAATTTCTTGCAACTATGTTACTAATTGCATGGCTCATTAAACGGTCCTTACGCATTTTTCTCAACCAATAGTTTTTTACTCAACCAATAATTCCTTTTGAACATGTTACGCCAAGTCAGGGATGACATCCGCCAAGCATACTCTCATTATAGAGTAGTATAAAGATGGATAATCAAAGTTCCCAGTGCAAGTTAGGTACCAGATAAATCATGAAAAAAGATGTTGTTACATTATAAAAATATAACTCTCAATCTTCAACAAAAATACGAGTTTTCGTGTAATGGTTAAGGACTTTAAGATGGTATCAGAGCAAGCCAGGTTCAAATTCTACTGGCCATGAACTTCTAGTGCAGATTTTAAAAATAATGATACCGCTCCATAAGTCCAGCTTTTCATCCATTAATTAATCATTGACATGTTGGGGTTGTTGGAATATAAAAATATAACCCTCAATTTTCACCACAACTTCCGAGTTTTGGTGCAATGGTTAGGGACTTTAAGAGTGGTCATATAAGGAAATACTACATATACTTAAATAACTTAGAAAATCAATTAGTCAATACACTTTTTTTTCCTTTCTTGCAATTTAGGTGCTCCACATTGGATGGATATAGCAACAGAATAAGGAATTTCTTTTAAATAGAATACAAGAAAACTAAAACAGCAAATTATCAACTAATTAATCAAATAAGAATACAGACTATACCTTCCTCAGGAGGCTCACAGAAACGATCGATTGCTCGAATGTCAGAGAGCTTAACTCCATCAATGCTGAATAACCCACCATGGACTACAAACACCTTGTCATTTATGACATGAGCCAAAGGCAAACAGCAAAATACTTCTGCAAAGAGCTCAACAAATGTTTCACTCAACTTAGACCTGACTTCTCCCTCAAACCCATAGATCTTATTCATGCTCTTGCTTTCATGGTTTCCTCTCGCAAGGTACATAGCTGAAAAAAGTATACAGTTACAACAACCTAAGAGAAAAACGCTAGGGTCCAGTATTACACTAATACCAATATGTAACATCATTTGGTTAAATAAAAGACTGGGAGTGAGAACATGAGCAAGCATATCAATCTACATTAAAATGAACTCCCAAAGGTGAGCTAATATTTACTTGAGCAAACTGTTACACCGGGCATCAGTTTAGCTTTTGGGTACGGTCATTAGTTAACATAGTATCAAAACCATGTTTCAAAAGTTACCTGGCCTCAAGCTAAGAATCGACAATTTATAAATGTGCTATCACATGTATTCTATACTCCCAAGAAAGTCATGCTTATGCTGAAGACCTCACCTAGCTCAAAGGCCGGCATAAGAGAGTGCTAAATGTCAAGGACTCAAGATGGTTGAATGACATGCATTGTTAGCCTACAACCTATTAACTTAAGCTTTAGGCTAATAAGATTTTTCTACAATGTAAGAGTAACTAAAACTAAATTACGATTTTCTGACAAGTAATAGTAACTAAAGCAAAATTTTAGTATGTGTGTGTCTTATCTTTTAAAAATGACTAGATAAATGTCAATAAATAGAAAGATATACATGGTGTATTGGTAAAAACACTACCTTTCTAAGAAGTATCTAAGAGAAGCATAAAATTGGAAGCATGTCCTTGTCTTGTAATATATTTTCTGAGTGGTAAATACCACGCTGTATGATATAATCAGTTAGATAAGGGTTTTTCAGAATTGAATTTTAAACCATCTGAAGGATATGTGCAAAAATTAGACCCCATTAGTTTCCAATAAAATGATAATTTCAGATGCAAACTTAGTAATATGATTAACTCCCGAACCCCCCCCCCCCCCCAAAAAAAAAAAAAAAGGAAAAAGAAAAGAAACAAAAACTCCCCAAAACAAAAAGCCACATCAGGCATCGAGGCAAAAAGGTGAAGGGTACAAAATTGCAAATAACTCCAGGGTTTAGCATTACAATAGTAAAGGTGGAAGTTCTGAGAGTCGAGTAGAATCATAATAAGTTACAATTCGACATCCAAGATTTTTAATCATAATTACATGATAAGAGCATGTTAGGCGACTTAGCCAAAGTGGATTATAATCTGTTTTTGGAAAATAGTCCACTTTTGCATGTTTGGCAACCACATTTTTAGCGGATTATTTTTTCATTTTAACAAAAAACACATGGATTACAAACCATCCTCTTTCCAAACACCCAAATGTTACCTTGGCTTGATCTATAAATGGATTATGACCTAGTTACCCAAGTGGATTATAATCTAAAAATGCCAAACATGCCCTAAGCTGAAACAAGAGATCAAGAAGCTCAAGGCAGAAGCACAAACCAAAAATTTCCAGAGGTTAATAATAACTAGCAGAAAGAAAATCCATAATAATTGCAAATGCAATGAAAAGTTTTTGATTCTTTTAGGAAAGTAATACATGATAATGCATGACTCCACCACAAATACTAGTCATAATTTACTGGAAAATAGTACCCAGCTTCAGTTGACCACATTACAAGAGAATGCTCACACAAAAAAGAATAGGTACTATACACCAACAGATATAAAAATTCCTATATTGAACTGGCTTGATGACTACTGTATCTGTAAGTAACTCCCTGCCTTCTCATCTAGGTCTTAGGCAGGCCCCACCTTAAGTTAGGGCAATTTAAATTTCCATGCCAATATTAACCAAAATATTAACAGTTTACATGGTAGTAATTGCATTAAATATGACACATAAAAAATCATGATAATAAGAAGGTTATACCTGATGGAGACATGCATTTAAATGCAAATAGTGTGAGAATGACTTCAAGTGAGAAAGATCCTCTGTCAACAAAGTCCCCATTGAAGAGATATGGATTATCTTCTGAGGGAAGTCCATTAAGTTCAAAAATGTTCAACAGATCATAGTACTGCAAATATGCAAATGCAGATAAACTCAGTTCAAATATTTTGAATACAAACCAAACCACAAATGAGACATATTTACACTTACACATGTAACATATGAGTATATATGTGTTAATGGATCACAGTTTTAACTTAAATTGGAACAATATACTAAAGAGAATGAACATGAATGACAAATCTTTAGTGTGCCAAGAGTATGTTAGGCAAGAACCTAACTACTATGTACAAATTCATAACTGCATGAATCTGTGTGTGATACCAAATAAATATTTTGAAGGGTAATCAATGTATTAAATATCATATATCAAATAAATATTGGATGGCCAAAATCCATATCGGATTGCAGAATCGGAGATATACCAAGGATATGTAAAAATATCAGGTTGCCATTTCGGATGATATAATATAACATTGAATACTAGTGAATTCGAAACATAAGAATTTGAATCACGATATATGATTAGGGTTTGGGAGAGCTGACGGTGGAGAGACTCGAGAGACGTATTGTGGCTTTTACGACTTTGGTGTGTTCGGGTTTAGGCTTTGTTGTTTTAATCTGATTGTAAGTTCGGGTTTAGGTTGTTTTAATCTGATTGTGGGTTTAGGTTTGAGAACCCAAATCCGACCCAAACCCAAAACCACAATCAAATTAAAAAAACAACCCGATTTTGCCAAAATCTTCGAAGGGATATATCGACCAAAATTTCCAATACAGACCAATATATCGAAAACAATCCCAAAAAGCGGAAAACGGTATGAGGCATAAATATTGTTGCAGTAAGGTCCTTAATCCGATATATCAGCTGATATAGCGATATATCGGCCGATATTTAATACATTGATGGTAATGCACAATTCATCAAATAGAATAAACTAAAATGATCGTCATGATTTTGAAAAGCTATGAAAAGAAGATCAAAGATCAAAACGGAAATAACATACTCAAGAGAAGGAAATAGAAAACAAAACATGAGTGTGCCAAGAGTACGTTAGGCAAGAACCGAACTATTACATGCAAATATATAAAAGCATGAATACATGAGTGATACTATAAAAACATTTTAGAATAGTAATGCACAACTCTTCAAATGGAATAAACTAAAATGATTGACATGTTTATGTAAAAACTATGAAAAGAAGATCAAAGATTTAGTTAAATAGCCCAATATTCATAATAATAAAAAATTTCCTGTCATGGCCCCAAGGCCCTCAACTATATGACAGTCTTAACTCATAAAACAATAAGGGAAATGAAGAATAGAGATTCACAGGAAAAACCTCCAAGAGCATACAAGGATCTATGTTGTCATGTACACTCTTGAACTTTCATATATGCTAGCACCCAGCTAGCTTGTATCTTTGCTTCAAGGAAGCCATTAACATACTGCAACCCAACCATAGCCATGACAGTAACTACTTGCTTCATAGAATCCAACTGATATAGTTTGCTACCAAGTTAAATTGAATAATATCAACATAAACTACAATCAATTGCATGCCCGTAGAGTGCAAACTAAGATAGACTGGGTAAAAAGGTTCATAATTGGTCCATTGTTCCGATTGAGATAGAGGCATCGTGATAATGGAGGAGATCAGCAGAGACAGTGGTGATAGTACCATATTACTTTGTGTTGAGAATCAAGATAGAAGACTAGTTTGAGATCAAAGTATTGATTATGCTCACCGCACATAAGTAGACATTTCAAAGATTGACCAAGAGCACTCAAATAGCATAAAAAAGTACTTATTAATAACATGATTTGAGTATATTCCTGCGATACTGAACACGCTCCAACTTTGAACTCCATGTTGTTATGTCAACAACATCATCAACACCCATATACATCAACTATTGTCTAAGGAAAACAAATATTGAAAAGGAAACATTCAGATTCTAAGGAAAACAAATATTGAAAAGCAAACGTTCAGATATGACACAGTGTTATTCAACTGATCCTCCTGCTAGGGGGAGTAAAGAGGAATAGAAAAGATTGTTTTTTTCATAAGCAGACAAAGTCTGATCTTACACAATTGTTGAGAGGCAAATAGTCTGATATTTAACAGTGCTATTTAATTGACACTCCAGGTGTGTAAGAAAGTACTTTGTGTTTTACTTGGCAACTAGAGTAAGTACTTTATAATGCAAACATGCAGCACAATTTGGAATCCAGAACACAAGATTTGATAAATAACAATCAAATTATAAGATCGTTACAAAATCTACAAGCTCTTGTAGAAAATAAGCTAGAACGCTTGTATAGATGCAATTATATTTTTCTGGTAGGCGTACAAGCCAATTATAATACGTAAACTAAGTTGCATGGGTAGGGGTCCGGGACATGAGAAATCTGTAATGATAGGGTTCGGGGACACAACTATAAATATGTATTTTATGTATAATTATTTATAAGTATTAAATTAATAATTTACATAAGATCAATATTGTTTTTTCATTTACATGAGATTAATAATATATTACAAATAGATGTGAAGTATAGAATATACGTCCAAGAAGTGTATGAGTGTTTTAAATTAAAACATGTAGCATATAATTGAGTATACACTCGAACAAACATATGCATATATTCAAGAAGTGTCCAAGAAGTTTGGGTACGGGTATGACTTCCAAATAGAAGTACCCAGGTAACATAATACATAAATCTTGAAATTTGTAGCAATAGTTGCATCATGTAATCTTTTATGAGGAAAACCCCAAAAAAGATAACATCAGCGAGTTATAGAATTGAAACAATGAACAAAAAGAGCATAATTTCTCAAGAGAGAAAACTCTACAATTATTTTATAAAAATAAATCAGATTTCCTACTTCAATCTCCTTACCTGGCCATGCACATCACCACAAACTGTCAAATGACTGCCATCATTTACTGTGATATCAACAAGGGAAGGCATAGCCCGTAGCATTTCCCTTGCTTGTAAAACAATTTGGTAGGCATACCTACAACCCAGCAGTTTATGGAATCAATTAGTGGCAGAGGAAAAGAAGGAGAAGAAAAAAAATAAAAAGCACAAAGACGATTTTTTTCATTAGTATGATTTTATTTTTTTTATTTTATTTTTCAATTAATTATCGACAATTACTTGCAAGAAGCACCTTTTGTGTAAAAACTTTTGGTTCTTAAAATCAACCATCATTTTCTTAACAAAATCCAGCGTTACAACTTCACCGTCTATTCTTGCACCGGTATATTGCGGCTCCACATCTGTAAAAAAGTTCTAACAGTTCAGTACTCTTGTAAATGACACTTCTGAGAGAAAGGAAAAAATAAATAAATTAAAAAAAAGAGAAAACAGCAAGCAGTTGGTTTCTGCTCTCCATGCCCTAAGTACCTAAAATGATTCTCCTTCATCATATCTTCATTTGATATTACTTCTAGTTTCCTGTGAACCAACTCATTACTAATTATTTTTCCTCAACCATTTCAACATTCTCATATCAATTACCCGCATCTCATCCACAAACCAGCCCCCCTGAATCTTTGCTGCTGATTTCAGCATGAGAATTGAAGGGAAAAGGCCATTTCTTTTTTATATATAATGTTTGAAGAATATTGACTCCTAGTTGCTAAAATTAACAATAGTCTTCAAAGAGAACTGAACCGGAGCCACAGAAAGAAGGAAAAGCAAAAGTTGCTAGAAAAATACATTGGAAATAAGTTATTAATGAATGTAGAAAGTACCAATGCAATGAAAATCAATAGACTCAGCAACTGAGCGCCTAGAGGAATCATTAACAGCAATTGCTTCTTCAAATCGGATCTTTTGGACAGCTTTTTCACACTCCTTCAACTTCTTAGTAGCATCTGGATCATTTGGGCAAATTCTTTTTACCTACAACATATGAAAATACACTTAAAACTAAAATACAACAAATAATCCATGACAGATTATCCATGTTTTTAGAATCAAATTCCTAATATAATGTTAATTCAATGGCAGAAAGCACAAGCACCATTCATCTTTAAAAAAATTAGGAAAGACAATGAGGACCGGAAGCTGGCTGAATCTAAACAGGTGTCAGAAGGTTACTTCAATGGTAAAAACTAGAAAGCATAAGTGCCATCCATCTTTTAAAATTAGGAAACTATATTACCATGAGGAGAGTGGAAGCTCGGCAAGTCTGCTAGATGGTGAGAAATTGCTCATCCATGTTTCTATAATCTCAGACAGAAAAAGAGAGCCTATCCAACTACTTGCTTGAATGCTTAAAAAATAGAGCAGCATCTAAGATGGCACATAGCATTTGAATATGTCCTCATTTGGATGATGTAGCCATGAAATATTATCAACATTAGCATATGTCCATGTAGAAAATTCAAATACAAGATTCTAGTTTCCTCACTGTTTAGTATTTAATTAGATGGGGTTATAATAGAGTAAACTTGCAATTGAAGTTTTTGTTCAAGACTCGGCATATTATTGAATAAAGAGGAAATGAAATATCAGAAGTATCTACATTCACTCCCCTAGCCCAGTTCTTGTAGTTGTGTATCTGAGCCCCCAAACATAACAACACAGGCAATAAAAGAAGATCAGTATTGACTGTTTGATTCAATTAACTATTTTGATGAATCAAACTTTAGTGTTTAGTTTTGTTTTTCCCCCTCCTTCCTTGCTGATAGATTTCTCTGTGGTTTTGATACTTGCAGTATAATATGAAGTTTAGAGTTTGAAACTATATCACAATTGCATTTGCAATCATGTCTTTAATTATGGTGATTTGCTTTCTGCTTCCTGAAAAGATAGAAATATCTAGTATAATAACCTTTAGTTTTAAGTTTCAGATATACATGCATCTCTTTCTCCACATGCACATGCCAAACTGGTTAAGCCTACTCTTTCATTTGCATTCTACATAGTGCTTCAAGTATCATGTTGCATGTTTGTATTTATAACACAATAAAAATTTTATATTAATATAATATTATATTGTATTGTATTATATTATATTAGCATGCTATACTATAGCTTTCAGTAGTTTGAGTTTTTTTTGTTTTTTTTTCCGGAAGCGTCCTCCTATCCGTCACCTCTTTTCTTTTCCTATATTTTTTTCATTTTCCCTTCTCTTTGTTTTGGTTATATCATTTATATATAAGAGCAACTAGTTCATTGCATTTTGTCTCTGAATCTTGCTACAGGGATTCAGCTGTGACCATGATAAGTGATAACTTCCACTTGTAAAATCTTTTTCCTGTGCTTTCTTTATCCTCTTTTCACGTACTCACATGTGGTGAGCAGGGTGGAGGGATTTGTGTGTGTACTGGAGTGGGAAGTCATATGCTACTAAAGGGTGGGTTGGTGGATAGGTTTAGGACCTTAGGTCCTTGGTTAAATGCAAGTCAGCAGAGATGCTAGTACCCTACACCATTATAGTAATTGAAAAAGTTGTATCATTCAGAAATTCCATCATAGAATGAATAGAGCAATTAATCAATCTTTCTTTTTGATATTATACGATTTATATACAATATATAATTCATTTTTAAAAAAAATCAAATATCGCAAATGAACATGCCTGTTGAAAATCTTTTAGAGCTTCTTTAAACTTTCCCATGGCAAGATATGCTGCACCACGCCGGTAGTAACCCTACAGAAAAAGCAGAAAACATATGAATGAGGAACTTAAACAAAATACTTACAACTTAAATATGCATAAGAATGCAGTAAGCTCAGCGCTCACAAAATTGACTATGCATGAGTGCAGATAAAAAGCACATGAAGTGTCTCACCTTCGAGTACCGGGGATCAATTTCGATGGCCTTACTTGCATCCTGAATAGCACTGCCATATTCCTCAAGCTTAGTGTGTGAAAATGCACGATTTGCCCAGTAAACAGCATTTAGGCTATTTAGTTCTATAGCTTGAGTATATAAATCAATGGCTTGAGAAAATTTGTTCGCTGCAAAGATCACGTATTCAAATAATCAGAACATATTAAAAAATTCAGAAAATTTTCTAATAAACTTTAAACATCTTTTTTTTTGTAAACTTTAATTATCTATCATTATATAATATCTAAATGCACATTTTTTGTAAACTTTAAACATCTATTATTATATAATATCTAAATGCACACAATAATTTGGATTTAAGAATTGCTCTTAGCTACATGCTAATGGCAGTTCTTATTTCATTATTATTTCCTACACGTTAAAAGGTACCAATCTTCCAATGTAGTTAAGACTTAAGGCGAAATGGTCATCAAATTTTGCCTCCAAATCTATTGAGAATTCAACATCATATGGCCAGTTTTTAAAGTTTGTCTCCATAATATCCAAGTATAAGTTATTTGGTTACATCTGAAAGCGATTTCTCAAACATACATGAAAGACACTGCTCTACTGAAGTAGTGAACTTGTTGGAAAAAGACAAAAGAAAATTTTATTTGCCCTCTATGATTCAAAAGCCAGAAGACCAAATAATCAGAGCTTAGGTGCAACCATAAATTAGCAAGTTTTGCTCCGTATTGGGTATGTACTTTCATTTGGCTATTTCTCTTATACCATTCATCTATAATGAAAAAGTAAATCTGTATGAAAAGATGTAAAAAATCCTTAGTCTAAAAATTGCTACTTGACTGGATTGGTTCCATAAAAAAATCTCCCCTTCCTTACAGGCGTTATCCTAATCTAAAAATTGTTTCTTGATTGGATGAGCTACTATCCATAACGAGTAACATAAAGTTTCTCTTTTCAAACTAATTTGCTGAGTTTCGTCAAGTTTTTCCTTTCTCTATAGTACATTAGATGTTTTGATATTACATAACTTGTCAAATTTTTGGGAAGCCGATAAAGAAAGAAAAAAAGTAAAAGCTGAAGAAGAGAAAGGTGGGAAGATCTCCCATAATCAAAACAAACAATAAACTCTGTGGTTCTCTCCCTGTGCATGGAAACCAGGTTTGGTCGAACCATGTAGTTATCACGTGCTCTTCTTAGTTCTGCATTGTCCTTGTGTGTGATTGAAGACCTCCCAATTGTTTATCTCCAAGGCAATGATTATCATAGAACAATCCAAGTTATTTTTGACGCATCTTTAAATTTGAGTGATAGATATCACCATTTTTCCATGACACCATAGCATATACCTTAAAACATACTATCATCTCATCCTAAATGTACCAGTCACGGTTTTGGTTCACAGTTGTATGTATGTATGTATATACATGATCAAATAACGAATTAAAATACCAATAACAGTTGTCTGTTTCTTTCTATTATCTATAACAATTAAGAATCAAGTTAAATCAAATAATAAGGTTTAATAACAAAAGTTTAGTTTTGACTGCATGGGATAATACGATGGGTGTTTTGCAAATATTTACGTAATGGGTTTTAGTTTTCAGGTTAAAAAACCAATTGGTTTTGAACCTGATATTACCAGATAAACTAGCTTAGGGTATAAGTAATGGAGAAATCAGGTTTTCTTTGAACCACGTGTTCATGATGTATCCATGGAGAGTTTGTATCCAACACATGTTGGACATGGACATGGCATCCAAAATGCCATGTCCATGTTACCTAGATTATGTTCATTATTCCATTGCTTCATTTTCCCACTAGAATATAATAAATAAATTTTGGTACTCTAAAAGCTATTAGCAATGTCAACATATGTTTGTCATTCGTAATAATTCTTAATATTGATAATATTCATTCAATCTCATCCGGAGATGATCAGCATATGCTTAAAGCATGATATGATACAGTCAATATATATCGCTACCAATTGACTTCAAACATTAAAACAGCTATATCTATGATTCTATAACCATAAAAAACAAAACAAAGAATCTGGAATTGGTTTGAGTATGTTGGATTAAGATGTTAACTCACACTTCGGAAATTATTTATAAATAGGTAAACTCAAGTAGGTCCCAATTCCAAACTACCCCATACAGAAACTATAACTAATAAAGATATTCCAAACATCAACTAGATTGTTCAATTTATAAGGTTCAAGCCTTCGAGCATTTGTGCTTCGTAGTCAAGACTAACATACATGGTACAATTTCGAATACAAAGTACTCCAAACAGATTAGAAAACTGCAGCATAGGAAGTAAATTATATGTACTACACAAAAGAAGTTAAGCTACTCCATATTCAAAGTTCAAACACTCCGACTCAGCAAAAACTTTATCAGTACAATCCAATATTTCACAAGGTCAAATTTTGAAATCTTAAGATAGAAGTTACGCAAACCCATATTTAAAAACAGACTCCGCAAAAATTTTAACTATCAGTGCAACCCAATATTTCACAACTTGTAAATTTTGAAATCTTGAAGTAACTCTGTTTGTAAAAATTGAAGCAAATAACATTAAAAAATACTCAAAAAAATCAAAATTTTACCCTTAAATGCTTCATTTGCGGAGGTTTTAAGCTCTTCTGCACGATCAAATTTTGAATTTGCAGTTCCATCCATAATATCTAGTTGTGCGAATCCACAGCTTCAGAATATAACTCTGTATAATCAAATTGCACAAACTTAGAGCCCAAACTGGGTCGACTTTTACATGAAAAATCTTGAGAAAAAAATATGTTGCTTACGTTATTAAGAGAGAGGCTTTTGGACTCGGCGAAGGAGAAATTTCCGGCTGTCGTCGGCGATTCGAGCGGCGGCGGGTGCGGCTGCGATCTAAGAGGAGAAGGGGGCTACAGAACTACAGAAACTTGAGGAGTGTTCGAGATTGAAACCCTACTAAACTTGACAAGTGTTTGCAGTTGTGATTCACTTAACGGGTTAATTTCACAAAACCCCTAAACTTTAGAAAATTTTGGACATAGCCCCTCTAGGGTTGTTTATCTCACATAATCCTTAAACTTTAGGGCATCTCACAAAACCTCCTGACCTTTTACTATTTCTCATTGGAACTTTCAACATATATAATTTGATAAGAGAATGACCAAAAATTTAGGGGACAAATTTTCAAAACCGTCCCATTTCAGCTTTTATTTATAAAAAACGACCTTTTTCTAGGATATTTGCAAAAACCGACCTGGTTTCAGCCTCAACGCTGAAACCAGGTCGGTTTTTAAAAAAAAGTTTCTGAAACTTCACGGGAGTTGAACTCCCGTGAAGTTTAGCAGCTTTTAATTAAGCTGTTAAACTTCACGGGAGTTCAACTCCCGTGAAGTTTCACAGTTCAATTCTTTTTTTTTAACTGTGAAACTTCACGGGAGTTGAACTCGCGTGAAGTTTAGCAGCTTAATTAAAAGCTGCTAAACTTCACGGGAGTTCAACTCCCGTGAAGTTTCGGAAACTTTTTTCAAAAACCGACCTAGTTTCAGCGTTGAGGCTGAAACCAGGTCGGTTTTTACAAATATTTTGAAAATGGATTGTTTTTTACAAATAAAAAATCAAAAAGGTCTCTTTTGAAAATTTGTCCAAAATTTAGGAGAGAGTGTACATTATTCGATAAGAGGGGATTATTGGTTAGGACAAATTGGGGCCAAGTGGGAAAATTGTTCCAATAGAACAATTTTACACCTTTGGGATATTTTGAGTGGGGTAAAGTGGGATAAAGTGGGATAATGAGATAATTTGAGCCTTTGATTTGACAGATAATTGATGACGTGACACCTTATTAAAATATAATTTTATCTATTAATTACTTCTAAATTAACTTATCCAATTGGTTTGGTATATTATTTAGTATATTATAATAATATAAATATTATTTTACTTTATATTAAAATATAATATATTGTACTATACTTACAAATTACAATTATTAACTATTATATTGTATTATATTATATTATATTAGCATGTTGGCTAATATATAATAATTAATATAATATAATATCAATATATTTAATATAATATTTTAATATAATACATTATTTTATTTATACAAAAATATAATATGTTATACAATAATTACTAATTAACATTATATTAGTATGCTACATTATATAATAATTGATATAATATATGAATAATATATATAATATAATACTTTAATAATATATTGTTTAATTTAATATATTATATATTCTTACGCTGATACGTATGAGAGCGAGAGGCTAAGTTGTTACCTTTGACTAATACGTAGGCAATATGGCAAATACCTACTTTTCTTTATAAAGAAATACAGATATTTGGTCACGACTGTGCGCTAATGTAGGGTCATCCAGTTTCTATTCGTGTGCTGGATCTCTTTGAAGTAGTCTGAGGATCTATCTTGTTTTGTTCTATTGAGTATTGAGGAGGCAGCTTTTGCTTTGTGATTGATATCTATACGGGGCTTTATAAGCTTAGCACAATGTATTTATACATCTGGCTTGCTTGTATATAAACATATTTATTTGGCTCTCTTTTCTATCACGTATCATACCATCAAAGAATTATGTGCATAATCCATAGAATTACTTCACAAATTTTAATCTTTCGTGATGATAATATAGCTCATCAGTTCCATCGATTCTTTCTCACCATTCTGTTCAATTTCATGATTTTATTGAACATTCGACCTGGGTGCTAATTTCAACATTCATCCTACGGAGTTCTTTTCAAATGGGCTAAGAACCATGATCTTTAGTTATCATTTTTGTTAAGCTTCGATATCAACCTCTACCCTAACCAGAACATTAATAGATGAGCGAAAACGGCGACAGCGGGGTGCTATTAAAATAAGCGATAATTCACATAATGGCATCTGTTTCACAAATTGCATGAACTTCGCATACAACTAAATTTAAACAATATAATATGTACACAGATTAGTATATAACAAGACTTTGCCATCTGATCATATTATGACTACTGTCATCGATCAACCTCCTACGATCAATTAATCTGCAATATCATCTATTATTGCACAAAGTTCTACAATCAGTATTCAAATTTTTAACATCACCGGATTACATCAGTTAGTCTATCAAGCACCAAAAGTATGTAATAGATCTAAGCATGAATGATCATGCATGTAAAGAGTTGATAGAATATGTACATACTCGTGGCAGATATATTACTAATATAAAATGAGATTTAAAACAAAAGACCTAACGAAACCTTCCATTGGCTATGCAACAGTACTCCGTACGATGAGGGGCCTCCTGGATCGGCTAGCTTGCGAAGTGACGTCTAACTTGAAGGTTCGATGACGTCGCATGTGAACGCCGCGTCGAACTCACATGCGCGGTGATATACCTGCAGCGATGACTGACGTAACTCGGAAACGATGTCCCCGGCAAACCTGATGCCAACGAAGGTGAAGGCGTCGGACTGCGAACGATCGTCCAAGCTGGAAACCGAGGACGGGACTTAATGATTCCGCACTGTAGCTATAGCGGTGTTTGTATCTGAGGAGTGCGATCAAGCGTAACTGGGCTGAACGATCTGTTTCTGCCGTGAAGAGAGTGGCCAAAGGCGAGGTAGGCTGCGGGAGTGTTACGGTGACAGATGGCGGACAGGCCAAACGAGAGGAATGAAGAGTTGCGGATTCTGGAGGCTGGGTTGAAGGCTGATTGGGAAGGATGAGGGCAGGCCCTGCTAAGTAGTCCGGCGTGGAGAATATAGAAGTAGAGTCGGGTTGTGGGTTTGTTGTTCGAAAGTGTGATGGAAAAACAGAGGAGGGGCACTGCTGGTTAGGCTAGAGAAAGAAACGCCAGGTAAGGGAGGTAGGAGTCGGCGGGTTATTGGGACAAAGGGAGTGCTGGAGGCGGCGACTTATCGAACGAAGAAGGCTTGATCGGGTGGAAGGAAGAGAACAGAGAATGATAGAGGGAACAACCTAGGCGGTTTCACACCAAATTTGCTAAATTTACATATAATTTTCTTCATTCATCATTCACTGATTAAATTATGTGCTGAAATAGGAGGAACAGAATAAAGACTATGTAGAGTGAATATCTACTCTATAAAATTCAGCTTAATCATCGCGCCTTACAATTAAATTATCAACCATAGGTATCTCACCTACAATCAAATTTCTAATTAACTAATAAAAACTAAAATAAATATAAAATGGTAACTTATCATATTATTGTTCAAACCCTATCCATCATTGCCTCCTCGGAGCTGTGAGAAAACCTTTGACTCCGTCGTAGTTAGTTACATAGATAGACTTATCATGCTTCAATAATCAATTAACTTCCTGTCTGTAATCTTCTCTGCGTCGTATCAGATATCTTAACTTTCATTAGCATCTCAAATCATTTTAGCTAGAATATGATTTGCATTGTGAAAAATTACCTTAATCTATCTAAATATTATTGAAATATCACTGCTGCATGAGTCGATATAACTAACATTAGAATGGTATTAAAAATGAAAAGAAACTCGTCAGTCATTAACAATTAGTGCTCAGAGTCAGATATATATTTAGTCTGGATTGCCAATCACATATTGAGACCTAGTGCTTAATCAATCAATTACTCTAAGATAGGAACTAAATGACCAATATGCGATAATACTAATTCTATCAAACTTCAAAGATTGTTCCATATCAATTATACTGTCTACTGACTATACCATATCAATCATTCTCCCAATTGTTATTAGTTAATCGAATATAGTAATATCTGAATGATTTCAAATTAGCTGTCACATTGATGTTCCCATACATAATATAATTACATCTAGTATCCAATTCAAATCAAAACAAAAGGATGGTCCAAAAAAGTAACAATCATAAAACCTCCAAAAAAATAAATCAAGACTAACATAAGAAAAGTAAACATACGACAAAAACCAAGGAGGATAAACAAATGGACAAAAATGCTATAAAAAAACTAACGAACAAAAGAGATGATCAAATAAAACAATAAAAAACAAGCAGAGACGTCACATAAAAAAAAAATAATACGTATATAAAAACGACATCTGGATAAAATAATAGACGTTCCCTTACTCCAATTAGTAGTTAATTATTGTATCATAACAAGTTCCTGTCTAACAGTGATATAGTGAGTAAAATCAGCAAAACAAATATGTCAGAAATAAGGAATGTTTTTGTGCTCTATCAACATAAACAAAAAAAGAAATAGCTACCTTGCAAAAGCGTATCGGCGGTTATCATTTTGTAAAATATTCATAGCATTAGGTTGAAATCAACAAATAGATACAATCTCTTATATGCTCAAACTCATGTATCCCTAATATCTCTATAATATGTCTGATTCAAAATATTAATATATTTTTGTGCATACTATATTATTAAATATATGTTATTATAATATTATAATTTTTCAAAATGGATCATGGTATATGTTGAGTAGACCGGTCCGGGTTTTGCATGATGGTTGTTGATATCTAGATATCGTGAAAATAAGTTAATTTATTTCACGTTATACTATAAATCATAAAATATTATTATAATGTTAGTGTCAAATATCCTATATACTGTGTTATTATTATACATATAGTTAATATCACCTCGCTTTATTCAATTATTATATATACTTATAATAACATACCACGTATATTCTATAATTACTACTATCGATAATAGTTATTAATCATATGTTATCTAGAATTATGTTAATTAAAAGTTTAATATATGCTTTATTGTTATATAATCGTCGTCATCATAATTTGATAATTCATAATTGCGCATGTATTAGTTAAGTCAATATAAAAATATTCTTAAAATATCTCAAATTGCCTTCAAAAGTGGCAGACAACATTCTGTTTCCAATATGGACGGATCGGGCGTAA